ATCATATACGGATTAATTCGCTGCAATTTCAGAAATGCGCTCACGAGCTACTGGTCGGCGCTGACGATGACTAACGGGCGTCTTCTCTTTGCTACCATCATCGACGTCCTCATGCTTTTGCTTGTTCATCTGTATCATCATGGAGGATCACATAATATCTGATCCGACTGTCAGCGACATCTTCTATGGATATCCGAATTTTTTCAGTCAGCTCACAACCCACCCACCCACCCGAAAACAAACCTCACAAGAGCGCACTACCGTCCACCCACTCAATTCTCCATTTTTTTCGCTTTTAAGGGGGCTACATCATTCTGAAACAATCCATCATTCTGGTCACACTGTACACATACAGTTGTCTGGACCAGCTTTTTTAAAGGTTTCAACTCTCGACTCTTTCCTCGAGTAGAGTAGAGTGTATTTGAGAACATTCGATCCGATTCAGAAGTCTTTTCAAGTACTCTATACACTATCTCTTCTATAGTTAGCGATAAAAATAGATACTGTTTCTCTTTCGTTTTACTAGTTATTGCTATCAGAAAATCGCTTTTTCGCTGGTGTCTGATGATCTACCCTTGAGCAGTCCGCTAGTCGTCCGTCGTATATTGGTATTGTATTCGAGATGTTTTAATACGTTTATATTAGCTTATCTCAAAGGGTATCATGATTTTACGGTAGTTATACGGTTCGCTATTCCATGCAGAATTTTGTTTTTGCGCTGTAGGCAACAATTGCTAGCAACGCTGACTAAGGCGAGCGACACACGCGACGCGGTCTGAGTGACAGTTTGCAGTGCATGCTCGTTGGCATGCATCCAAGCAGCCACTCCGCGCGTGTTGCAATGTTGTTTGTTCCTTATTCAGTCGTATGAACGAGTCGCTATGGGTGATTATTGTCAAAACACAATGGTTATGGTCCGTGTTTACCCCGTTCTCTTTCCATATGATTACGACGATTAATTTGGGTGTTATCCATGCGGTGTTCTCCCTATTTCTTCTCTCCGCACTACCGGTGTGCCGTTTTATTCCGTCCTAGGTTTCTTAATAGACATTCTTCACTGTTTTAAGCCTGTGTCGCCGTGTATATCTCGATTTCAGTACTAAAATCTTAGATAGAAAAGAATGATGAGAATGAAATCATTCGCATTGCGACACAGGCGGCATGTCTCTACCAATTCATTCGCACGCTCGAAATCTGGTGTCTATCGCTAAAATCGTCATTTTTTAAATTGTTCTTTATTGATTAATTTTAGCTTGTCTAGCTTAAAGAGCATTTATGGTAGTTGTGATCAGTTTGTTGTAGATCTTTTTTATACAATTTTTCTATGACGTCATCATAGGTTTTTCATGCACCGATTCAGCCATGTGAATTGTCTTGATTGAGAGCTAGCTTCCGCGGGTATGGAAACAATTTTTGAATGAAGATGTCTGAAATCCGAAATCACGTGTATTTCAAATGTATTATATTTTTGGGAACAACATATTTATTACATTTACATACAAGCTGTACGTTGGATCATACAGAATTCACGCCTTCGTCGGCTTGTGGAGGTAGCATTCTAATAGTAGCCGAACTGCTTTGCTTAAGTTGCAAACTTGAATTTTTCAAAACCAATCCGGAGACCTGAAATCAATAAGTTGACTTACTGGAGGAAATCTTAGCTAAAGGACAACTCGCTACTGTTTTAAGGCAGTGACACTACGAACTCGCTGCTGTTTTAAGGCAATGACACAACGGCTAAAGGGTGGAGCGGTTTTGATGACGTCAGTGGACGTTATTGGAGGATCAGACACCTCACTGCACTAAAGAGTGTGCGCGGAACCGCCTCCCAACCCGTTCCACTAATCATGGTCAATGATGACATCAAGATAGCTCCGCCCACCAGCCATCGTGTTCGGTGCCTTTAAGTTTTCATTTTTTTTATTGCACAGGGTCTAACCAAAAAATCCATGCAAAACGGAGCCCAGTGGACATATAATTTTCTTATGCACAGAAATCAGAAGCAATGACTGAATGAACCTCAATTGCCAAATGATCATCCAAACTTCAATCAACATGAATGATTCCCTTCACAATTCCCTTATTATGACAGATCGTATTCTGCAGAGAGCTGTATTAGGGGCAAGACGCCTAGCCGCTGAAAGGAAATGAACCCGATTCCATGAACCACGGAGAGTGCTATCCTTCACAAAAAATCAATGGAACGTGCTATTCTTTATTATCCATTATCAGTAAGATTGTGTTCTCAAGGGTATGTAAATAATAGTAGTACAGTAAAAAATACAACCCGAGTGGTAGACAGGGTGATAAGGGCAGGCTATTATTATGTAATGTTGTTACATGTTATAGGGAAACAAAATCCTGTGAACTCCCAAATACGCTTCCATTGGCATGCCTGGTACAACGCTTAAGCGCTGCCGTTTTTATAATTATATGAAACATTAAAATCCGATAATAGAGCAATGCTGAAGAGCTACAAGTTTTTTATTCCACGGTCCTTACAAATGACTTAAAGGCAAAGCCCGGCATCAAACTGTGTTTTATTACTCTTCAAAATGGCAGGGGAGATGTGAAGGGCAAGGTCAGCATTGAAAGAAAAGGGGAAACGTCGACATAGAGTCACGTTCGCCGAAGCGGAATGCACTGATATGTGGGTGGAGTCTGTGGTCTTGGGGGAGGCCAGTGCTACATTCTAGGCCCTTATCTTCTCGACCTTGTAAAGTCATCCCGACATTTGTGTGCGTGCTTCACGCTTGCGCACCACCGCCTTTTTTCCTGAGGAAAGACCTATTTTGACAAAAAAACACCGAACCTTGCTTTTAGAGGGTTCTTGCGTTCCAGAAAATCGTTTCTCATAGGGAAAAATAACTCGAGCACTTCGGACATTGTGATGCGCATGGTGCATCACGCTCACAGAGAGGAAGACTACATACTTCGCTAAATTCGGCTAGTTTACCTCTGGATCTAGGAAACGCCAAGTGTGAAATTTTTGTTCGCATTATTGGTAGGTGTGGATTACTGATGAGAAAAGAAGAGGAACAGTCACGGAACTTCATGAAGTACTGCGGTATACAATGATTTTAAGACAGTGAGCACGAGGGCTGTGAGGCGGAACGGTCTCGATGACGCCACTGAGCTGCAATGGTGGAAGGGCGATGGGAGGTGGTTCCAACCGCGTGCCTTTCGCGCAAAAGGAGACTGGTCCATCAATGACGCCATCGAGCCGCTCCACCCTTCGGCATCTTGTTCACTGCCTTTAACTGTATAGATTCTGGAAGCCTCATCTCATAACCTTGTTGCTGCTGAACATGCACATTTCTGAGGTAGTTGGCACACTTAGCTGAATTCTTCTGGTATTATTAACGACACGGGGTTTCTAGTATTCCTCAGAAATCCAAATTTTCTAAATTCCTCAAAAAACATAGGTAGTCAGATCCTGCTTCATATCGAAGAAGTTTACTCAAGGAGAGTCCGTGCTATGGAGGTGGGCTCAAGTAGGTATTGTGCAGATAACCCTACCCATACGTAGCTACCTTATTCGAGGATGACTGAGATGACATAACGTCCATTTTGCTTCGCACTGAGAAACTCTTACCACGTATGATATAGACTGTGACTGGGTTAAAGGACGAATTCACGCTGGAAAGGCAACCCATTTCAAATTAAGTTAGGGATGGTGAGTGGTACACGAAAGAAGGAAAAACCATGAGAAACGGCCCAGAACCCGAGAAATGGGACCCCTTCCTTGCCCGTTGATTTGAGCATTGATGCGACTCTCATCGCTGTGCCCTCTTCAACACTACGCTCTCTCACCTATCTAATCACTCGCCACGTATAGACCTGCGGCGAGTGATCAGATGATCGGTGGGCGTGCACTGACCACCGCGCCGGGATTGAACCTTAATAGGTCGCCGAGGTCAACTCCTTCCTGTGCAAATTGTGCTTCAGTTCGCACCACTTAGGAGCTCCGCGGGTCCCTCAACCAGGTGAATTCTTCCTAATTCGATTTTCCCTCTGATCGTGAATTCGTCCTTTAAGGCTATGATCACCTCCACATGGAACCCTGAACAATTCGTCTACCTGCAAATCCAGCTCTCCCAGTCCGGTGTCCCCTACTTAAAGATCTGTCCATGTCCCTGGAGAGAAGGCTTATTTTATGTGTTTCGAAAGATTCATTTCTTTTCCTTTCGCTGCAGTTCCCTTCATACTTCTACCTTCCTTTCAAGTGCTACAACCACACCTACATCCCCACATAATGTGCCCTTAAGGAATCATGCGACGGTTTCCATAGAGCTGCAATCTAATTCTATTTACGGGCAAGAATGGTCACAACAGCCGTACTTCTCGGAGGTTTGAACAGAGTGGTCGACTCATCTGGGATATTTTTCAATTCCATCTGAATCGCATCAACCCTCTATATTCTCCATAGGAAAAGTTCGTTTGATAGATGAACGTGGGATGGAAAAGTGTGAGTTTGTTTGAGCTGTTTTGAAAACTCGCTCATGCAGGAATTTTTTAAATAGTAAAAATTTAAGGGTGAATAGTAGAAACATATGAGCTATTCACTAATCTCCACAACTGCTGTGAAAATGCCAAGGTGACAAATGAGGCCATCGTCATACTTGGAATCCCCCCATTTTATTAGGCCCCCCATTTTGTTAAGCCATTCACTCCTGCAGAAGCGAATACTTAGTAACAGATTTCCGATGAGGTTCAAATTCACTGGGATATCAACAGAAGCCTGCAAACGATGGCTCTAAAAACCATTCAACTACTACTGCGATCCTGGAAAGGCATCGAATGTGTGGCGCATCCCAGAAGACGTTGCGCAGCGCTCATTGGAATATTATTTATTGGTCAGTCATACTTTCTTCGAGATACAGGTCAAGTCCGTGCTGGATTCAACCAAAGCTCTTGCTTCTTGCGTTCTACTAATCCTCCCAACAATCAAATACTACTGCTTTACTTTACTTTTTGTTACGAATTAAGGTAAGGTCCCTTCAAGTTTTACTTTGATAATAAATATAGCTCACATTTCTTTTGAATGACTCCGATAAAAACACGTATATGAAAGGATTCACAGCACGATTTATGTATAGCAACGCAAACGCCGCATATGATGCACACGTGAGAATTGATAAATTCCTGAAAATTTTCAAAAAAATGACCAGTCTTCTTCTAGTTGATTTACTAACTATTCTTATAATAATAGTAAAATGAGGAAAAATATAAAACTTCGGTACCTATTCCACCCAATATTGAGTGCTATCGACCACTGTATCAACCAGTATGGTAACCAGCATAATGTATAGGATATGACAATCGAAAGACCCATAATGGTTACCTAAAATTAGCAAGATAAGGAATTCCGACTGCCCAAACAGGCAAAGGTTGATTCAGCTCTGAAAACACTTCAGGTCCTCTTATGCATATACAGATATTAATCAGAGGCGAGCTACGGTTGAAATTTTCAAAGCACCAGCCGGGATCGAGTTGGTGTACCATTTGGTTTCAAGTAGGAAAAAGTGCTGAGAGGAACACTATTTAGGAGAAAAAGCAAAAATCGCCACAGAAAAGGGCCGTCTCTAGAAGTCGGAAGTGGTATGACAGAGAGACACAGCGCTGCGAGGAGAGGGAAAACGCGAGAGAGCACGTCGTACGCGAGAGGGCGCAGACGCCACGTATGCCGCGATTGATAAGGATGGCAGCACGGCACAATGTAAGGCCTTAACGCCGCCGATTCGCAGTTTTGAGTCGCGTCCATGTGCCTCCTGCGCATGGAGACCCCTCTTTCTCGCTCCATGGAGGACTACTTCCTGGCACCTGAACCCGACCCATGGCTTTAAAGAGAATGAACAGGAACTGGGAACAGGTGAACTGGGCTCCTCAGCGGGCGGAGGGCGGGGGGAGGAAGGCGTTTAGAGACTGCCTCCTTCCACCAATGACGCGCAATGATGTCATCAACACCGCTTCACCCTGCAGGTATCCTGTTCACTGCCTTCCATATGGAAATCGTAATCGAATAAAATATCCCGGAGTCAGAGCTACAGCAAGGACAAACTCGCAACCACGAAAGACTTGATGCCAGGGTCAGTCCTATCGTTGCTACTTTTCAAAAAGTTTTTACGACCCCCCTCCTTCAGGAAAAGTTTCCTACGACCCCCCCCCCTTTCCGACCAATTTTTACCCCAAAAAATTACCGTCGAGCGGGGGAGGGGGTATATACTTCCCTTAAAACCGCAAAAATTCCCTCCATTTCCTTGCGATTTCCCTATGTCAAGTACGACCCCCCTAAACTCACCAAAATACGACCCCCCCGTTGCTACTTGTAGCAACATAGGTTGACCCTGCTTGATGCACCACGTCAAAACTGTACGTGAACAATGTCAAAATTTATAGACGACCATGCAAATCGCAAATCTCATAAAGAAAAGGTTGCCGGTAATCGGAAAACGGAACCGAATGTTCTGCCAACACTCACAGTGATGAATTATTCACCTGAAGAGTTTACGCAGCTGGTCCGCTAACCACTCAGAGTTTATCTGAGAACTGATGTGAACCCAACGAAATATGAACTCTGCTGCCAAAAGGGATTAGTATGAGGAATCCGTAATTTAGATTTTTGGTCATTTCACCGTAATCTACACCAACTATCTGATATTTAGGGTACAGTGCGGACGTTGTGCTTTGAAAAGTGGCGCTACTTATCAGGTTAGAACGGGGGGGGGCATCCCGATCGAACCTCGCCTGGAGCAACCAAGTCATCCATCCCTTTGTTAGGTTATTTTTAGCCAGCTTGGCGCTGCAAAAAATGGATTGGTTTCATCGGCTGGTTGTATAAGCCAAATCTCTCTGAAACGCCACGACGATTGTGAATGCATTGGAATGCATGACGCATCTTAGAAAAGGACTGATGTACGCCGAAACTCATTGTTTTATCCTTCATCTGTGAAGATGTAGTAGTCTTTAGTGAAGATACAGTGGCTGAGGACATCGTGCGAGCTCTAATATTCCGTTGTCCGAAATCAAAAAGGCATCTTCCTGTATCGCGAAAAAATAGGTTGCCTCTCGAGTTCCGAGTTCGTGATCCTGCTTTTTCTGCATCTTGCAAGCGATGGATGGTCTATGCTATCAACAAATACGTTTTCCCTTATTCTTTTTATATTATAAAAATGTACCTGGAAGTCATATTACAATATTTCCAGCAGGCGTCAACAAACCTTTGTAGTTTTTCGTTTTGTCACTTTCCGCTTTAAATGCATTTGATGACGTCTTCGCCAGAGTTTTCGAATGATTTTCGCGTAGAAAAACCAGATCGCTATCAATGGTAGTAGATAACTCAAAGTGAACGTGTACGTCGTGAAGAACCTAGGTCAGAAAAAATGAGAAAAATAAAGAAAAATTTCTATAGAAAATGAACAGTTGTAGGCAGCGCTGATGCGTAGCGTTACTTCCTAGAACAACGTAGAGTCACGAGCGGGCTGCTTTCATGAGTGCGGAGAGCACGGAAAGCGCCAGTGAAGAAGGTAGGCGCGTGACGTTGAGCGCGCAGTCACTAACGTCTTATTGAACTAAAGCCGGATTCTCCATTCATGCGCCAGTATCTTGTATTGACGCTTTTTGCAGTTTCCAGTGTCCGTATCGCCTGCACAGTCCGCATCGGCGACAAGCTGCCTTGAAGGAATGACGACAGCGACGCACGGCAATGGTACCTATGACATATGCGTGGCGACACATGTACCACTTTAGGGGGGAGGGGAGGCAGAGTTTGCCTTTTGGGGATGCACGACACAAGCGAAAGCAAAATCCGTGGCGGAAGTGTGTCTGATCCATAACAGCCAAAACCTTTCTCGGGGGTACATTCCGAAATATATATTCCGAAATAGCGTAATGGACTACAGATATGAGGCTAGAAGGGGTATTCAATTCGCCATTGGAGCAAAGCTTAAAATAAGTTGCGGGAACAATTCAAGTGACGATGTTTTCAGCGTGGTGGGCAGCTCCGCAACGTTGTTCACATTTGAGGCGTGGCCGCGGCGAGCGCGGACGAGGTGGTGGTGCTCCCGAACAGTTCACGACCCGTTCCCCTCCGAACATGGTCGGCGCAGCTGCCCGCAACACTGGGACCACTACCGACTTGTACATTTTTGCCACGCTTTTACCTGTGAAAAAAGTCATGAAGTGGTAGCCAGACATTCGAAACGGTCTGATCGGTATTGAGGGCCGAGACGTAACAATAGACTTGGGAATAGAACACGGGCGGAGACTCAAGGGTCGACATCGTTGCAAGTCCGAAACTCTGGCGCCCATATACGCGTTTTGGGTCGCGAAATGGATACCAGCACTGTGGTTGAGCACCAACCTGCCTCATTCACAGTAAGGACCACTCTTATCAAATATTTGCGGAATACGCCTTTGAACTTAGAAAACATGCTTTTCGATATTGCATCATTATATGCTTAGGACAAACTATAACATTTCACTTTGGAAGGTGAACTCACTTCCGCGAAAATAACGTCTCCCGTTCAGCACCAGCACTTTCACCTTCCAGGTCTCGATCTTCTTCGGTGACTAGTATACACATGTGTCTGCCTTCTTCACCAGGTCCACCTTAACAAGTCGCTTAAAAAACCGAGGAAGACGAATGTTTTTTTTCGTTTTCTTGTGATATTTGAAGGCACGGTCGCAACCAGATTGGTGTGTTATTTTGTTCCAAAATTAAACAACAACTGCGAAGAGGAACGTTAGAGGAGAAAAAGCACAAAGAACTATAGGAAACACTGAAGTGTCTCTCGAGAGGTACGCCGACAGGCCGTGGGATGACTGAAAGACATAGTACTGCGAGAAGAGGATAAACGCGAGAGAGTGCGCCGTATGCGAGAGGGCGCAGACGCCACGTACGGTGTGAATGACAAGCAGCGGTCGCCACAGTCAAGCTAAGGCATTAGCTGCCTTGTCGCGCGCATTCAAGTCGCAACAGCGCCATCAACCCTGCGACTAGGGGTCCTATGTACTAGCTCAATCAAGGAGATAATTCATCTGAGGGCCTGATCGCGACCAGCGCCTTTAATTTCACCGAGTCGGTAAAGAAAGGGTTAACTTACTTGAACTTTTTACCAGTTTTACAAACATAAACAGTGGCGTGATTTCCAGAACCACTATAGCCCAGGTGATTATAGCGGCAGCTGTGGCTGCTCGACGAGTGCGAAGAACTGATGACCGAGTTGGGCGACATACAGCAAGAAATCGATCTAATGAAAGCACGGCGATGAACATCGCCGAAGCGAATTGTGAGATCTGGAAGAGAACATTTTCCATTTATTTTTTACAAATCTGTCTAGATTCCTTCAAAAGAGCGTAGTACAAGTAGCAAGGCAGGGGTGCTCGTAGTCGAAGGTAAAAAGAAGTTGCGTTGAGTTGAGTTGCCGACCTATTGAAAGGAACAAATTGAACGTGATGAATTGTCACCTTGAGAAAAAATTGCAAATGGGGCAACCCTTTTGAAGGGTTTTTCACCGGGTAACATTCCCCTCGCATCCCCTCCCCCTTCCCCCACCGTCTCTCCAACGGTCGATGCTGTCGTGCCACTGTACTTGCTATTACTTGTCACACTCTAACCCCCCCCCCAGACCTCCAAATTTGGGGCGTGAGGAAGGGGTATATAAGTGTAGCTCCTGAAAGGGCAAATTGTGGATATTTTCGTCCATTTTATCCGTTTACACTTCAATTCATCTACATAGTAATCTTCAACTATTACTACTTCCAACATCCGACTTCCTCTCTCCGGTCACGTCCCCTTTGCCCACTGCGCTCCGATTAAACCCAAATACGCCTTTCAAGAAATCACAGATTCCAACCCCTCGTTGTTAATTACCAACAGGCAGTCAGCTCGATTGCTCTGCTGACGCAAAAGGCCGATAACAGATGCGCGAATCAAGCGATTCGCTAGCGTCTGCGGTCGCGTCGCGGCCAGTGAATCACTCAATTGGCTGGTACCGCAACGCGACCGCGGACGCTAGCGAATCGCGCGATTCGCAAAGTCTGACATCGGCCAAAACGCAACGCGCGAAGGTAACCGTAGGAAGGTGCTCCCTCTCACGAGAGGACACATATATGAATCGGGGCGTGGCATGTTACGGAAGGTCCCTGTGGAGGGCAAGAAACAGGGCCAACTACTTCTGGAGAAAAATCAAACATCCCCTCCCACCACCGTGCTACCACAACTATAGCAGTTTCTACAGTATCTCAAATTTGCTGTCGAAGTTCCTTCAAAATTGCTGTCGAGTGAGGGGGAGGGGAGCGGGAAGAGGTGGGTGGAGCTATGTCTTCTTGTTGAAGGGCAAGTATACACAAGTTATACATAAGTTTATCACAAGAATACTCATTGCATGCCCTATTGTAAAGGTTGTATTGTAAACTATCTTGCCCCTTCCAAAGATGACCTCTGGAGCTTTCAGCACCACGACTACCTCCTGGTACTTCAAAACCGGACGAAACATCACTCACATCAAAAATCACATATAAGATCCCGCTTAAAAAACCCCAATACGACTTCCCCATTTATGCAAGGGAGTGTTGACCCCAATGGTGAACTTGCGATATTGAAACACCAGGAATATGCTCCACTGGTATAATATAGAAAGCTGGAAGTTGGCGTGGCGCGCTGCATCGGCCACATGTACCGAGATCACGAGGTTACACCTATTGTCAATGTGAAAACTGAACCGACTTACCCCATTTCCGGTGATGAATCCCTTACATACAACACTTCCGAAAATCCAGTGCTTCGTTATCGATTGAGTGATAATTATTGGTGTACCAGCAAGAAACAGCATATCAGCCACAGCGAGATTTCCAATGTAAATATTGGATATGGTCCTCATTTCTCTGCAAGAGTCGCTTTATATCTGACAACTGATCACCTTGCGCGTCATTACTTACAAGTATGAAATATAATATAATAGAATTGAGTGGACTGGGGGGGGCATTCTACATAACTCAGGACAATTTTTTGAAGGGTACTCAGAGACGTTTAAGAAAAGCCCTGGGGTCTGCAGCTTCACCATAAGTTCAGGTGGGAAGACACGCTCGCGAAGCCAATGCCCTACCGCCCACGTCCGTGCCAGGTACTGCGGTCGCGTCTGATGGGGGGCCAGCTATCGCAGGTTAAAGGAAGTATCATACCATTTCTCACATATTGGTTCAGATGATATTTAAAATGAGTCCTGATTTCAATTTATTACACCGAAATTACTATGCTTTCTCATATTGCACCACATCGACTTTTTCTCATCGCATCAACCGGACGAAGAAAATCATCAAACGTGGCTACGTGGCTTGGGGGGGGGGGAGAGAAAAGTCACCGGCGGCGCGGACGCGTTCGCGTGTTGGTGACGTCAAAATGACGTCGCAGCTGCGACAGATTCGAAGGAAGGGCGAGCAGTGGCCAGCGCCGCTGCCACTTTGCTCGAATAAGCTGGGCTTCTGGCACTATACCAACTTGTTCAATCAGTTGTGCCGCGAGAGAAATGATTGTGTTATGTTCAGGTACCATCCTTGCCTTAGGAATTGAAATTTCTCGAAAATGTAGAGGAATTGGGCTTTCATGTGGAAACCCTTAGGAGTACTTTGTCAGTAATTTGAGCTGAGTGTTTTCGTGTTCGATTCCAACTTACTTCTACTTATCACACAGTGAAGTAAGAGCACGATAGATGCTCGGAGTACTTAATCGAAGTAATGGTGGAAAAGCGGTCGACGGACTACTTGAACTCAGCCCTTTAAACCTCCTCTGCGCTCTCTCGCGGGTCCCTCTCCTCTCCAAGGCTTAGTCCTTAATCATTCACCCGTTTTCTAATCGTCGCTCTAGCCATCGCGGCAGGACCATT